GTTTTTTTTTCTTTTTGTGGATCTGGATGTTTGTGTGTTAAGGTCTTTTTTTCCGTTTTAGATACATCTGAAAGATCTATAGAAAGATTCAAAGATCACTTCTGTCAAAGTATTTCATCTCAGCCTTCTCTGGGTGTTTTCAGCCTCTTGTCATGTGTACTGGCTTGTAATGCAGTTGACTACTCGCTCCCACCCTCCCCATGCTCTTTGGCTGTACACTAGCTAACTAAAGACCGCTGGCTGCTGGAGCTTACCTCTTAATTAGCATTTCTTGTACTGTCCAGCCTTTTGGGATCATTCTAGAAGGTCCTTGGTTGGTCTTTGATACTGGTGATTTGGCAATCCGTGAGTTACTCTTCCAGATTTCTGGAAGCATTGCATATCGTTTATTCAAATTGCTCTTGACATACGAAAATTCACTGTGCTATAAAAACAGCTACACTTGTGCAGCTGCTTATTTACTGTCTGATTGTATGAACCTCGCTGTTTTTTAACTTTGTCAACCTGAATTGCTACAGAAGACTATTTGTTAAAGCCTGTCCTCTTTAATAAGAATTAAATGTAGATATTGCCGAAGAGTATCTGCTTGCTTTACAGTTGAAGACCTTTATTCTTCCGTGTGCTGCCTGCAATTGGGAAGTATGATCTCTTTCTCAAAGTAGTAAGAATTGCGTGACTACTGTGAAAGTCTGACTGCTGTTCGTGAATGTTTAGCTAGAAGATTATTCACTCTTAAGAGTTCAGTGGAACTCCATCTTGTGTTTTGAAGACTCTAAATTATTAGTCTAACTTCAGCACTCTGCTTCTCTCCTGGGAGAAGCTCTACTCAAAAGCCTAGAATCAAATCTAAAAGCAGTCTCTTTCAAATACTGTCAGCTTTATTTGAGATGCCTCATGCAAGTGTGGGAACAGGCATTTGATGCTTAACAAAAACTCACTAAATATTTGGCAGTGGTACCCATGAAGGAAAAAAGTCCACCATATATTCTAGAATAAACTCTCGGTTCAGGATCTTGGTGAGTTCAGTTATGGGCAAGGAGCCAAGATAGGGGCTTGTGGCTATAAAGGAGGTTTTCCTTGTGTCAAGGTGTTGTAGTTAGTTTGCTGCTAGTGTTATTCCGCTAGGAAGGGACTGGGATGAAAATCTGAGACGCCTTAATCTCTGGATTTCATGGCCGCCATGTATATATGGCTCAGGGTTTACAAGACTTTGCGTTTGAACCCATGATATTTGACAACGTGATACTACTTTGCACGTGGAATGCTGTAGCTGCAATGTGTGCTGTCCCTCTCAGCTTTTCATATCAAGTGATCTTCATGTACCATGCATATTTAAGACAGGGAGCTATTTAAAGGAAGCTGTTTATCTAGAGATTTGGAAACAAAGTATGAAGGGTGAGAGACAACAGGAATCTAAAGATTGTCTTTCTCTCCCGGGATATGGGAAACAGCCTTCTGAATTTGGGGATGAGAAAACAGAAAGTGTTGCTTGTTTAGAGAAATTGAGGGAGCCTATAAGGGCATCTGATATGATGAATGGCACGTTCCTTTTGTTATAGACTTAATTGCACTGAAGTGCATTCCACTTAGCTGGGGTAAGAGTGATAATCCTGAACGTAACTGGAGGTTTGCTCTAATATCTCTCTCTCTGGCAGCACAGCAACATAACACAGATTGAGACAAGCACTGTTCATACAGAAAGTACTAAATTATTGGAACTAGAGACTGTCTAATAATGATAATTTTATGACATGGGTGTAGGGGAATCACTTCCTTGCTTCTGTCTTGCATCAATTTTGGGTGGCTTACCAAGGTAAGTTGTATGCTTTTCTCATGGACCAAGGAGAGGTGGTAGTTTACTCCATCCTCAAAAGGGCTGCCACTGGAAACTGGCAGTGACAAGTAGTTGCTACTTAAAGTAGTAAGAACATTCAAAATAATAAAAAAGCAGAAATGAATTGTTAATGTTTGCCCTGAAATACGCATATGCTTTTGGGACTCTTAGAATAACTGTTGTATTATAGATGGGGTGGATTTGGTCAACTCTCAGGTGAGAAAGAAACAGAAGGTATAAGACTGGGTAGTAAGCAGAAAGTAGTCTAGTGTATTAACGGGATGCAGGCAATTCAGTTGGTGGGGGGAAAAAACCCATCTCTGTAGAAAACTGGATGAAGTTAGAGAAGCCGTTGAAATATTTAGTAATAAAAGTGCAAGGAACTTGGGAACCAGAAGAGCTCAGGAACAAGAACTACTGGTGCAGGACGTGAAACTGGATATTATAGGGATAGCAAACATGATGGGACAGTATGCATACCAGGCATTACCTGTTTTCTGATAGTGTAGGCAAGATAAAAAATGAAGAGTGGGTGTGGAGCGAGATGTATATGAAATGATAGACTACTTTTCCTCTGTTGTGTTGCTTTTCAGTGTCCCTTGCATAAAAATTTTGTGTTGGGGAGAAATAAAGTTGCAAACTTGGAATCAGGGTTGCAATATATAAACAGATCTCTCTTAACATTAAAATAGTTCCCAGTAATATTTCTCCGAACTGAAAAACAACTATGGCTAATAATGGAACACATAAGTCAGTATTTGCTGGCCAGGTGGTAGATGACTTTTTTCCCCCCTGCTGTTCACCAGCACTTCTATAAGTGGTCGGAGTCTTCCTCAATTATGTGAGGGGACAAGGTGAAGTCTATCTTAGACTACTGTAAGACCTAGCACATAAAAATCTTCGCAGCCACACCTGCAATTTTAGCAAATCTGTCAATCTGGGGTAAGAAAGACAAATTACTTAGCATTTCTGCTTGTCAGTCAAGAACACCCCATACTTAAGGAAAAAAGCAGTCTTTACAACTGTGGATAGTAAAAACCACCTTGGTAGTATAGGAATTCTTTCCTTCAGGGTTGATTTAAAGAGCAACTAGAGATGCAGGTTTACCAAAGGAAGAAATGTTTTTGCCCAGACCAAGGAACTGTGGTAGGTTTTACTTCACTGGTATCAGAACCATGGTTGATACAGCGCTACCCAATTTGAGGTGGAGTAGCAATGCCCAGCACTAAAAAAGGAGCTAATACTTTTCATTTTCTTCAATATTCTGCCGCAAAAGATAGGGCTGTGGGGGGTTTTCTTCTTCTTTTTTTTTTCTTAAGAAATAAGGTAAAGATTAGTGTTTTCAATGCAAAGAGATTGGAATATCATGTGTGAGAGTGTAACGACCTGGTGGATCACGGCAACAGATGCAGGATGAAGTTTAATGGAGCAGACTGTCGGGCTGTCCATTTAGGGCTTGATGCCTTTGGATGTGATCTGGGTGTTCATCAGTTGGAAGTAGCTGGGGAGAAGGACCCCAATGTCCCAATTTATCACAGCGTGGGCCAAACTGCAAATAATGATGTGGAAAAAGAAAATGTGGACTTAATGATGTGTATTAGCAGAGTTTCCTTCTGTTGGAAAGGGAAGCATTAGTGTTACCACACAAGCAAGAGCTCATCCATAATACTCGTGTATCTGAATCATACACAAGATATTTCTCCATTCCTTAATTAACTTAGTAACTCTCCTTTCCACCCCTCTGAAGGGAACAGGACTCTTTCAGGTGGTTTTTCAAACTCCTGAGTGCTTTACCACTTATTAAAGCTGAAATGATACTTTTCACTGTGCTGTTTTCTCATTTACCTGAAAGATTTGGCATTTCCATGTAACATGAAGTGTGCATCTGTAGGGAGGGTGAGTGTTTCTATATGACTTTGCATTAATAAGCAGGTACTGAGATGATATTTTGTTGTGAGACTGGCTTGATTACTATGGTGAAGAGCAAGTTGGATGTTTCTCCATGTGAATTGAAATACTTAACTGATTCTGACTGTGCAGCTTAGTTTATATTCTTTTCTGCAGGGCACTGCATGGAGAGTATAAGGAGTACTATTTTGATAGAGATTTTTTTTTAGATATGCTTGTTTTACAATAAAGAAACTTTAATGAAAAAAGTGTAAAATATTGTATAGAAATTTTTGGGACATAACACCCAGTAGATGAGGAGATGGTTCCCTGGTAAAGCTGGTAGGTTTAGCTTCACTAAAATCATGGAAAACATACAGAAAATAGCCTGCTGTGTGCAATTGAAATACAGCTCCTGATTTATTTATTTATTTATTTTTTTAAAGTCTGGATCCCCTTAAAATATTAATCCAAGTATCATTAATGTAATCCTTAAAAGAATACAGCATATGCTTTTCGAGTTGAATAACTTGTCTAGCAATACCTGTAGGTTTTGCCTTGTGAATATATTAAAAACTTTGCAAGAGAGTACACTCTGAAGTTTGGAAGTACAGAAAATGGCATGGAGTGGTACAACCTTTATTGAAAGAAAAAAGTTTCATCTTTGCTTACTGACTTGTCTCAGACTAAAATGTGACAGTTCTGCCGTATGAAAGCCTTTCGAGTGCCTTGCACAGTGGCTCTACAAAGTAATAACTGATAAATCTGGCCACAGATGTTTTGGTGCCTCTTTAGCTTTGTTCATCTCAGTCAGATAAAAATCAACGTGTGAATCAAACCTGGCTGTCGCAGGTGGCGGTGCAGGCATATGCCTAGCAGTGACTTCGAGAGCTTTCAAGCCATTATATGAGCACCTGAAATACTGCTTAGTAGAGGGATGTCCTAATCATCCTGGATTACTTCAGCTTTAATGGTGTGTTTGTAAAAAGCTATTAAGAAGCATGATGAGGGAAGAGTTACTCACCATTTTTATGGTATTTATGGTATATCCTTAATAGCTTGAGCAAGCGTTCGTGTGAAATAGTAATAGCTAGATAGTATTCATGTCGAGGAGCGAACATTAAAGAAAGCTGCCTGAATGACTGTGGTGGGACTGTAGCAAGATTTAGTTAATTTTGAGTAATGTAAATTGTCTTGTAGCCATCCCTAATAAGCTTACATCAAAGTACTCTGTAATTGTATGGCTTCCTCTTAACTGTGCATGCATTGTATTTTGCAGATAAGCAGTTTCTGAAGACTGAAGGACCTGCTAAAGGGAACACCTGCTTTTGAGGTATGAACTACTTTTCTAATGACCCAACACTAAATCTTTAATGAAAAGCAAAGGTTTGATACAGCCATGTGTACACACTAAAACTTCATCTGTTCTGGGAAATACAGCTACCATCTAGAGTTCTGAAATGTAATCCCTGACAGAAGTTCAGTAGCAAAGCTTGGCAGGGCAGGCACGCCTGGCTATGACAAGTGGAGTGTTAAATGGACTCTGGGAGAGTCTGCATGTCTTTAAAAGGCATTATTACGAAGAGTTCCATGACTGGAACTTCTGCAGAATAAACATATCTGAAATACACTTACCTTTCCAATCTTTTCTGTTCAACACTTTATTTACTACTTTTTTGCATCTTTCTTTTTGGGTATTTATTAAAGTTTCTAACATTCCCCTGCTTCTGTTCAAGATAGCAGGGCTGGTGCGTGACTCAAGGGATGTCCTTTGTGGCCAGCTGGACCTTCTTTCTTGCCTTTGCTGCTGTAAAGGGCAGACATCTTGTTTAACTTGGTCACCGAAACCTTTTTATCAGAGTAAGAGGACTACAAAAGATTAAAATGAGCAAACTAGGCTAAGGAAAAAAAAATAAGTCTGATTTGATTTGTTAGGAATTTGGAGCAGTGGATCATTTGAGTTTCTTGTCCTAGCCTTCCTTTGTGGAAGGCACCATAAAGCTACACTTCCACTGGAGCCTATCATCGGGTCTGCAGTCTGAGGATATTTGAGGTGCAAGTGCTCACATAACAACATGTTTTAGTGAAGGAATTACAATTTCTTCACGATATTTATATGGACTGAGGGACCCAGGTGTCTTCTACAATGCAGTTTGATAAGCGTGACAGTGATTGTTCTCAAATGCTGGCTATTCCTTCAAGTCCTGGGAGCAGTATCAGCGTGTTTACTCCACTAATTAATACTTCCTTCTGCCTTAACCTTAAGGTAGTCTAGAATGTAAACCAATGAAACACAGGGCACAGACTTGTACAGAAATGACTAAGCTGTTAATGTCAGTCTGCCAGTACCATCCAGTGATACTTGGCTGTAAAGAATGCAGAGCTGTCAAATGGATGCAGTTCAATTACAGCTTGTTTTAACATCACCAACTGTATCTACTATGATTTACTAAAACTGCTTGAAGTGACAGTAGCCTCGCACGTCTCCTAAAACTTTGTTATGGGTATGGGATAAAATTGTTCCTAAAATGCCCTTTTTTAGTCTCCTTAAATGGCAGGCGCAGAGATAACGTCATAGGTGCAAAGTTCTGTCTTTTCAGTTGGGCTGATGCTCTTGTGTATCCATTCATGACATGACTGGAACCAGGCTCAGTTAGGGGCAGCCACACCACCGGTTGTTTATACTGTGTACTGTGGCTGCCTGCCGTTTGAATAAAAGCCAAATAAGATGGCTTATCTCCCTCTGGGTGGGATGGAGGGAGGGGAGGTGCCCAGAATGCTGTGCGTGCTTTTCACTGTGGCCTCGATTGAGCTAAAGAGCTCATGGGAGGTGGACTGTCACCTTCTCCTGCAGGGAGTGAGCACTATGCGCAGCTGAACAGAGAAGGTAACATAGGAGTGTAAGAGCACTACATTGCCCTTCCTGCATGTTCCAGTGTTGAACAACTTCCCCCCACTTTACACTTCACTTAGCTTTGACCAATGTGGTCTTAATGTCTGCCAGACTCCTTGGATGTATGGAATTGATCTCAGACTTCAGTTTACTTGGTCACGTTGTTAACTCCCAAGTTGTCTAAGGGGGTGAGTTTGCCGTGTTACAATTTTCCTCCTTTCTTTTCTCCATTGTACAAAAATGAGAGTTACAATGTAAGCTGCCTCCTAGAGTCCCAGGGATACATGTAGTTGTACCTCTCAACACTTGTTGTTCTGTGGTTTCAGGACATGGAAACCAAACAGGTGTTTCCCACAGACTGTATTCAGCAGCTAAAAATGCTTCCTGAAGTAATTTATCCGGGAACATTTAATCCACGCTCACTGCCTGCCTAGACGAATAAAGGCAACTTCCTCCCCAACATCCTTTGGAGGAACCTGGGAGAGCAGGGAGGAAGGAGGAAGCGCTTGTGTGAGTCTGACACTGGCTGGTTGGTTCTTGTTGGATGACCTGACTGAGGAATACCTTGGGTTCTTTACAAAACAACCACCTGTTCATCTCGGATTGTCACTCAGAAATAAATGGGTTCTTCCTGCTTATTCTGTTATGAGCTCTTTCAACCAAGTACAGTTGCATGTTTGGTCATCTTACTTTCTTAAACTATAAATACTGACTATGACTTGTGGCACCTAGAACTTCGTTTGGTTATTGTATTGGTTACATGTGTATAGGCGGGGAGGAAGTACTTCTAAAAACATCACCTGCTGGATTAATTTATATTTTTTGTATAACTGCTCTAACTGGGAAGAAACATGCACAAAACCACATCTTTAGGATCAATTTTATTGATGAAAAGTGAACTAGATTGGGGCTGCTGCTGACGTAATTGTGGCAGGAGCAAGTAGCTGCTACTTGCTGTGTGACTACCTGCTCCCCTCCTGCAGCAGAGCTCTGCCTACAGAGGATTCTGCGGAGATAAGGCAAGCAGATAAAGAACTTCCTCTGCCTCTGTGCTTTAGCAAACCAAGTGTGATTGCTTGTCCTCTGAGAGCATTTTGCAGTTTGCTGGAGGAGGGGCTGGTGCATTATCACCCACCCTTTTAAAAGGGGATTGAGGAAGTATGCGCTGACCTTCTAGGCTGAGAATGCTGAGAACAGAGCCGAGAAGATTTAGCCCTTGAAGAGAGAACACTTGGGAAGAAGGCAATACTACCATGTCACTTTACCACATATGGTTTTACTTCCTTAAAGTGATGTGGGCAGAACCCTTTATTTTAATTTAAAAAAAAAAACGGGTTTTTTTTAGTACTACACTGAACAATTATTTATTTGGTCCCTTATCTTTCTCTTTGTGGAAGGGAAACTGCCTGTGTCAAAGGGCACAATACTGTGATCCTGGATGTTGCAGCTATACCTGCAATAAGGAACTGAATCATTCTCTAAAGAAACTAATAGACCGTACCTGATAACATTGCAGGGAGATGTGAAATTTCTTTTATTGCTCTTTCTTTCATGAAAGCTCAGCTTTTGTTGCTCTTTCATTCATGAAAGCTCAGTTTTTGTTTTCTAACCAATGCCTTGTTTTTCAGCCATTGTTGAATGTATTTATTATCAAGATTACGGAAATGTAAATACAATAGTGGTTGAACTGCAGTAGCTACTCCCTTCCTCCCCTGCTGGCTTCCTGCATACATTCTGGAAGGTGGAAACTGTTCTTCTGCATTAATTCATTTCAGAAATGAGTGTTCTTCCCCCTGTTGCCACCACATCAGATTTCAAAAACCAAAGGGTATGAGCAAAGAGAAACGATTACTCTCACCTGTTCCTTGAGACTGAGAAGTAATGTAAGGCCTCTTGCTGTAGCTCCTTTCAGCGTTTTCCTATGCTCCAGCCTGATGCAAGCACTGGTGTCCTGGTTTCGGCAGGGATAGAGTTAATTTCCTTCCTAGTAGCTGGTACAGTGCTGTGCTTTGGATTTAGGATGGGAACAAAATTGATAATGCACCGATGTTTTAGTTGTTGCTGAGCAGTGCTTACACTGGCCAAGGACTTTTCAGTTTCCCATGCTCTACCGACTGAGCAGGCTGGAGGGGCACAAGAAGCTGGGAGGGGGCACAGCCAAACTGGCCAAAGGGACATTCCATACCATGGGACATCATGCTCAGTACATAAACTGGGGAAGCTGGCCGGGGGGGGCCG